TGGTGCGAAATGAGGTGGGAATCATCAGTACAGTGTCTCATTTTGCCATATCAAAAGAAGTAAGTCCGTGGTATTGTCAGAAAGTCTAAAAAAATTTTTTTAAGTGATTCTTTTGCTTAATTGGCTGATTGTAAATGATTATCAAAGTTTTTGGATTCGAAATACTGTAAAGCGTTATTGAACTAGTAGCTGTTTAAATTACCAAATGTCTGCTATCGTTAACTGTTTGCTTCTTTTTCCTAATGATGTTTTTATAGTTTTCCGCGATTTTTTTTTAAATTAGGAATTTTGAGTAAGAGAATTTGTGGTACCATATCCAAATTTTGCGTTTTTTGGATTTTTTTTTTTTTAAACTGTGCCTCGTTTGTTTTGTTAGGCAGAATGTGCGTACTTGTCACGTGTTGCGCCACGTGTTCCTGAAACGATACCACGTTTGATTGGCCGTATAATCACGAAATTGCGCCGTGATGGTGATACTCATGCTGCATTCAATGGACGCCTTTTTTCGTCGCTAAAATCTCGTAAGTTTCTTTTATCTACCTAAAAAATCGGAAATTTTATTAGCTAAACTGAACAAACTAGTAATTTACTTGAATATCCTTTAAAAATTTACATCAGTTGACTAATTTCTCTTGCTCTATGTTTCATACTGACACTCATGGTACTGAGGTTTTTATTACCATCACAAGTCTACCACAATCCTGACATCTCTACTTGGAATGACCATTTCTTGGTTGAGCTTCCGCTACCCCTTGTTCCCTTTAAATTTTATTTTAATTTTTAATAATAAAAGTTATCGCTGAGCATTTTTTCGGTTTTTCATTTTTTTCGCTTCTCTTCTGATTTTATACTTTGTGGGGTCTTGTCATACAACATTTGTCAAAGCGACCGGATTTGGTTGCATTTTTGTCATTTGACAACCAGACTGTGAAGTACAGCTGATCCCTTCGAATTTTATACTTTGAGGGATCATTTCATAGAAATTTTGTCAAAACAACCGGATTTGGTTGCATTTTTGTCATTTGACAACCAGACTGTGAAGTACAGCTGATCTCTTCGAATTTTGTACTTTGAGGGGTCATTTCGTACAACACTTGCCAAAGCGACCAGATTTGGTTGCATTTTCATCGTTTTAAAACCAGACTGTGAAGTACAGCTGACCTAAATAGGTACTCCTAGAAAGTCTGAAAAAAAAAAGAATTTTTTTGTGTGATTCTTTTTTTTAAGTAGTTGATTGTAAATGATTATTCAATTATTCAAGACAGATTATGTGGCATTGGTGGTTTGCAGATGTTGATGATGTTGAAAAAGATGAGAAGAAGAGAACTGGCTTTGCAATGATCATGCATGTTATGAAAGATTACTTTGTCCCAGCGAAATTTCCACCAAAAGAAGAAATTTTTGAAATTTTTTGCAAAGTAAGTACACTTCCGGTGGTGCTTTTCATTCCTCAACCGATAAAATAGGATATTTGTGCTCAGTTTTGTACAGTTTGCAAGTTTTTTTTTTATTTTATCGGCTGAAGGATGATAAAAATTAGGGTTTTTTTCGAAAACTTTGCGCATTTTAGGATCTAAAGGTGTAATGATGGATTGACTTTAACCTGCACCTCCGTATTCACTCCCTTTGGAAAGCAGAGGTACTCAGATGCATCCCCTTTTTTTCGAACAAATTTTTGTTGATGATTGCTTTTTTTTAAGATTTTAATCAACGTGCTTGTGGTGACAGATAACTGTTTAAATGAAATTGGTAAAGCGCTTTATCTCGGGTATGTTATTCAAATTTCTGTTTCTCAAAAATTGAGTTTGTTCTTATTTTTCTTTTCGTTCGATTGCCACTTCGGACTTCGAGTATTTTCTTTAGAGTTTTGATGCCTTTGGGAACTCTTATACGATCAACATATGACTGATGTTGTCAAGAAGAAGCATAATAATTCAATTGTAGGAACCAATTTGAAAGACTAAATGGCGAAGGCGCGATAGACTATAGCATAAAAGAACAGTATGAGGGAAGGAGATAAGAGTGAGATAAGACTTTTCGGTCCATTAATTCATATACGTCTTAACTCAACACCGCGCGACAGGACCTCGTCTTTGTGACGGTCGTAGTGCTTGTTTTGCTAGAATCAGCAGCTGATATAATGAATTTTGGTATAATTTTATGCAGAAAAGCAAGGGATCGGATTTTCTTTTAGTCCTAGCAACAGTCTAATACCTCTTGCACTCTTTTCATTGTAAAAGCAACAGCCAGTAGCCTAAATTCATATAGCTTAGAAAGGTAGGATTTCGTCTAGTTATGAATTTGTGGGGACATTGGACCTCCACACCGATCGCACTTCACCGAGTTTTGATGGTCCTGATTGGAAATTTGAATTAATTTTAACCTAAATTTCTTTTCCAGACTTTCTGGCTTGGATCATAGCTGTAATCCGGATGCATTCGTCATTTTCAATGGCTCAAAAGCAACTTTGCGATCGCTGAAAGATGATGTAACACAATAT